TGAGACACTTATTTCAAATGCAATTGCTTGGGTGATTTATAGTCTTTCGATCTTCAGGGTCTGTTGCTCTTCCATTTGCACATCTTATGTTGTCATCCGCAAATCTTGAGCTTTACCATCATCGTTTAGGGGATACAATTCCTTTCTTTTATATATATGAAATATGGTCTTATTAATCTTCATTAGTTTCTAAAGTTGACTCCTCCAATTGTGAGTCTTATTTGAAAGGCAAAAACACCAGAGTTTCCTTTCCTGAGTCTCTCGTTTATGTTAGAGAGTTACCTTCAATGATACATTCAGATGTTTGGACCTCTTGTACTTCTCATTTTCTTGCTATTGATGTGTTATTTTTGGGTGACATGTTCACCCAGTTCGAGTGCAAAATAAACAATTCAAATATGATAGTGGTGATGAATTTCTCAACACTAAATCTGAGACTTTTGATCGAAACAACGACATGCATTTTCAGACTATCCTGCTGTTGTACTATACAATAGAATAGTATGGCTGAACTATGCATAAAAACATTATCAATTTGGTCCACATACTACTATTCCAGCTGTCTGATGCTAGCTATTTTTTGGGTTAGAATCTCTTAAGATTGTTATTTATCATTAACAAGATTGTTTCCATTTCTATTCAGAATTTGACACCGTTTGAGCTTCTTTGCGATAAGAAGCCTACATATTATCATGTGCAGCCGTTTCATTTTACATGTTATCCAAACTTATCTTCTTATGCTCCTGAAAAATTGAGTCTTTACTCTTCAATCCATTGAATGTGTCTTTATTAGATATTTAGACAATGACAAAGGTTATCAATTGTTTTAGTGTAGAGACTTAAAGGTGGCTATTCTCGACATGCTTTCTATGAGCAAGAGTTTACTAGGTAAGTCTTTACTATAGCATATTGAATTGTATGTCCACTTTATTCGAGAAAAATACAGGAAAAACAGTAGAATTATTGTGTTGCCAGTCAAGAACAGTTAGTTAATAATTTCACCAAGAGACTTTTTTTTTGTGATATAAAGAAGTAAGGTATATACATTAACAAGGTACCAAAATGAGGGTATAACCCATTTACAAAAGATTTAAAAACGTGTTAGCGTTTCAATGACATTGCCAAAATCTACATCACTAATAATGTAATGACCTAACAGTATCGACCCAAACTAGTATATCTATCTATCTTCTCATCTATTAATACTACTCTCAGCATTGTCAAAAACTCTACCATTCATCTCCTTCCATATGACCCAAAAAACAGTCAATGGAATCAAGTTAGCATCTTATTTTTTACAAATAAACCATCCCATGCCCAAAGTTCCCTCTTACAGACCTAGCTATTACCCACTCAATCCCCAAAAGCCTATAGATCATACACACAACCTAGAAGCAATCGGACACCACAATAAAAGGTGATTGCAAATTTCCTCAGCTTGTAGACAGCAGTAGCGGCCATTCACCAGTATTCATCCTCTAATTCTCAACTTGTCAATTG